CCAACTCTTTCTCTAAGATCAGACCTGGCACCTTTCCTGAGAACCTTGCCCTACTGGCTTCTCAGGTACTGAAAGCACTTTGTCCTTTTTATCATATCTCTGGTTCTTGGGCAAACCACATTTCTTAACTAGGCTTCTTGGCCGCTCCTGTTCTTCTCCAGCCTCAGGCCAATCTGCTCCCCTGACCTGATTTCATTGGTCTTGGATTTCAGACAAGGTTCTTATGGAGAATGAACTCACCTCTTCCCTGCCCCAAACCTACACAAAGGTCCCATTCCTCACCTACCACCCAGCCCAAGCCCACCACTCTAGAAAGAGACACCCACTGCTCACATGGAAAGCAGAAGAACAGAGGTCTTCTTGGTGGAAGGCCCAGAGTGACTTAATCCTCACACTCCAGCTCTGGGTGGCCAGTTGGTGCTTTTGCCCTCATGGGAAGAACCAGAGAAAAGCACACATGATACTGACACTGAAGTCTGGGCTGAGACACGAAGATACAATAAATAGGTCCTCCATTCCAAAAGGATCAGATCAGACTACATGCCACATTTTTTCAAGCAAATGGTTGAGAAGTAACTCTTGAGCCCCTTTCCTGGGACAAGAATCAATTTGGTGCCCTGGCTGGTTTGGCTCAGTGGACAGAGCATCAGCCTGCGGACTGAAGGGGCCTGGGTTCAATTCCAGTCAAGGGCTCGATCCCCAGTGGAGGTAGTCAATCAATGATTCTCTCTCATCATTGATCTCTCTCTCTCTCTCTCTCTCTCTCTCTCTCTCTCTCTCTTCCTTCCTCTCCCTCTGGAATCAATTATATATAATTGATAAAGACACAAATTATATATATATAATCAGATGGAGATGGAGTTTTGGGGAACTTTAATTTTATTTTTAAATCTTTATGATATTTTTCTTTATTTATTTTTATTGTTGATGCTATTCAGATGTTCCCACTTCCTCCTCTTTACCCCCTCCACTCAGCCCACCTTCCCTCTGGCCATCAACACACTGTTGTCTATGTCTATGGGTTGTGTATATATGTTCTCTGGCTAATCCAGGGGTCCTTCACCTAATTGGGGGTGTGTGTGCGGGAGGCAGCTGATCGATGCTTCTCTCTCATCAATGTTTCTAACTCTCTCTTCCTCTCTGTAAAAAAAATCAATAAAATATATTTTAAAAACAAACAAATCCTTGCTTCATCTGATATCCCAAGAAAACTTTAAGGATGAGGAAGAAGTACAGAGAAGCAAGCTATGTACTTAACTATCTTTCTACTTCTGAAGATCATTCACTTTTTATACTGTCAGGTCCCCTTGATCAAGCTCAGCTTTTACTCATAGTATTCCACTATCCACGCTATCTTCTCCACTCACCTAAATCCTGCTTACCCTTCAAAGCCTAACCCTCCTGCAGCCACCCGCCCAAACAGAGGGAGAAGGGACCCAGAAAAGGGAAGAGACTTATGCAAGGTCACGCAACAGAATTAACTCTCACTGGAAGGAGAATTTAGGGTTCTCATGTCCAATCTAAGGCAGCAATTCTGTAGCACATTAGAATGGGGGCTGATTATGCCTGGGCATGCTAACTCCCAGAGCAAGAGCATCAGGTCTGCAGGCATCTGATTCTATAAAGTAGTGATGGGAGAGAACTAGCTTTTGCTTTTTAATTTTTATTTATTTTATAATGTTTTTATTGATTTCAAAGGGGAAGGGAGATGAAGAGAAACATCAATGAAAGAGAATCATTGATCAGGTGCCTCCTACATGTCTGCAACCGGGGCACGTGCCTTCACCAGGAATGGAACTGTAACCTTCTGGTTCATAGGTTGACCACGGAGCACACCGGCTGGGTGAGAACTAGCTTTTGTTGGAGGACTAGACCCAGCAGTGGGTGTGGGGCGGGGGGGGGGGAGGAGTGTGTGTTTCAGTGCATTGGGATTGGAAGCTCAGGAGCTGGGGGGCAGGGCAAGGCCAGGGCTACATGATGATGAGGTGAGTAGAAGCAGGGACACCATGGCTTTCCTTGTGCTCCTCAAACAGCTGCTCCAGACCCTTCATGTAGAGCCTGTGGTAGTGGTCAACTTCCTCGTCAGTGGGGATGAGGCTCTGGGGCACTAGGATGGGGCGGCCCACTGCAGGGAGAGGGGAGACAGATGAGGTGAGAAGTGCCCACACAGCTGATGACGGCTTTCTTCCCTGGAGAGGTGGACTCACCCACAGTAGTGATGGGTGTAGAGAAGGGCAGCAGGCCCCAGGAGTTGGCTGAGAAGAGACCTCGGCCCCAGAAGACGCAAGGAGCAAAGCCCAGGTACTTCTTGATGATGGACTGGCACAGATACTGCCAAGAGTCTGTGGCAAAAACCTTAAGTCGGTAGACATCATTCTCCCCAAAGGAGTACACAGGCACCAGGGAGGCCCTGGAAAGGAAGGGCCATAGAGAAGAGGGGTAGTCAGGCCATCAGCTCTTAGAGTACCCCAAGAATAGGAGTCCCAGAGAACAGCATAACCCTCCCCAAACCTCATAATTCCACTTCCCAAGCCCTTTAAAGCAAATGACAATGGCTACAGTGAAAAATCTGGAAGAAGGGACTCACATTTCCTGAGAAAAGATTGTGTACTGAACCTTCATATATACATTTCCTCATCTAGTCTTTACAACCAAACCATTGCAGGGCAGGTATTAACTCTTTCAAGGGGAAAGAAACATGCCCAAGGTCTTGCCTTTGAGATAGTGTCAGAGAAGGCTTCGCGCCCTGCTCTATGCATTATGACCCTGGCTCTCTTGGAGTGGGAGGAAGCTTGCAAAGTGGACGTAGTGCTTGGCACAGAGTAAACACTCAAACACGGACATGAGCGCCTTCCGGGTATAGGGCCCAGTGTGGATGCAGAACAACCTATAGGGTCCCGGGTGTGTGGGGATGGAGAGCGTGCACCCTAAGGTGCTCTGTGAAGTTCTGACCATTAAAAGCAGCCTCGGACTGGGCACCAGCACCCCTCTCACCCATGCCTCAGCGCCAGGCGTACGAAGCCTTTGCGGTTCTGGAGAAAGACGCGATGCTCCCCTGAGAGTGCATACATGGATTCCTGGGCACCCCCAATCATGATGACCACGGCCTGCCCACGCCGGGGCTGTGAGAGAATAAAGTCCAGGCTCTGGCGGCTCACAGAGCACACTCCTGCAGGCATGAGAAAGTGGGAGCAGTCACCACCCCCTCCTTGTCTCCCCTGCCCCTCAGCCTACCCATTCCTCCCAGCCCCACTACCCACCATGCCCATGTCACTGTGCCCTATAGTGTTGTTCCAGCAAGGACACCATAGGACACTTGCTCCAAGCTACTCACTGATGTCCACTGTGACCCTGGCCAGTGTTCACACCAGGTCCCTGAGCTAGGTGGGTGGAGGTCGTCCCGGCCAGAGAGCACCTCCTCCCACTCACATGGAGGCTCACCCATGGACATGAGGTAGTCTCGATAGATTGGAAGGTGGAAGAGTCCGTTCAGCGCGACTACTGAGGACCGAAGCCCAGGGAACTTCTCAGAGAAGCCCGTGCTCTCGGTGGAGAAATTGCAGGCGGTTCCGATGCACATGATCCCATGGGGATGAGAGCCAAACACATAGTTCCGGTCAGGGGGCAGCTCTACTGTTTTCACCAGCTTCGGGGTGTTGGGCAGGACGAGGGGAAGAAAGCCTAGCAGTCAGGACACCAGGTAAAAAGTGTCACCTCCCCTCACCCCAACTGATTTCAGAGATCAAGGATGGGTCAAGGGCACAGAGGGGCTGCTCTTGAACAACACTCCACCCCCTGCCCCATTGCCTTAGCTTAGGCAGCTGGGGTCAGGCTTCTGCACTCAAGGGCTGGATGGGTGGGGGAGGCAGGGCAAAGGAAGGAGGCAGAGAGTCTTTCTGGAGGGTAACCAGTCACCTTGATAGGATAATAATCCCTTAGGTGTTTCCAAATGGTCCAGTTCTTTATCCACTTAGACCGCCTTCCACCTTAGGGTAGAGAGATATGGGTGGAGGGAGCCCTGGAAGCACCCAGCTGCCATCTCTCCATACTTGGTCCCCTTCCAGCACTCACCCCGGTTGGGTGTGTCCCAGTCTAGGAAGAGCCATGCCAAGTAGAGAACAGAGAATGACCAGAGGGATGTGAACAGGAGGGAGAAGACAAGAAGGAATGAAGAAAGACCTGTGTGAAAGATGAGAAAGTAAAAATGAATTAGCCTTTGAAACTCAGTCACATCACCCAGCTGTTCCTCTCCTCCACTCTCAGGGATCATACTCTCTCCCTCTCTTTGCCCTTTGGGCACTCAGATAAGTGGCACTCCAGCCACTGCCCCAGACCCTTCTCCCCCTGCGGACCCCAAGCACCCACCCATGCCTCTTCTCACCCATGAAAAGGAAAGTGAGCACGAATTGGTAGGCACCCACTGCTTCCAGCCACTGCTTCTTCAGGGTCTTCATGGTGCGGGCAAGGGCGGCAGGAAGGTGGAGACTCCTATCCCAGGAGCTGCCCTGGGCCAGCAGGGCTCCAGGACCCCAGGAGAGAAGGTGTCTGGGAAGGCTTTCTTGTCCGAGGGGCCGAGCCTTTTGGACCTCCGGGATTGCGTTTGGGGTGGTGAGGTGGTGAGGTGGTGGTGGTGGTGGAGGTTGTGGTGTGTGTGTGTGTGTGTGTGTGTGTGTGTGTGTGGAGGGGGTTGTGGATGGGAGATGGCTGGATTCAGATGTGTCCTGCTGTTCTCAGGTTGATCTTTGAGCTTCCGTCTGGGCAGGCTGCAGGGCGGGTCTGGGAGGAGCGAGGGGCTGTGGGAGGGGGGTGTGGCAACTACCTTGCGAGGAGACTGAGCTGACGCTGGAGAGCCAGAGGGCCGGGCCCCATCAACTGGGGCGCCCAGAAGCCCACCTGAGACTGTCTGATCCAGAGTGGGGCCGAGCTGGGAGGAGGCGAGGGTGGGGCAGGGCTGAGGCGAGCGCGCAGACCTCCCCTCTGGGCAAAAACACACCAACACCGCGAGTCTGTTCCCGCCTTTAATGTCACCCCCATCCACAGTCCTAGGGGGCGGCAGGGGGGGAGGGGATGGGAGGCGCTGGCGCGCCTAGGTGAGGATCAGGTGCTGGTCGGCCGGGACCCCGTAGCGCGCCTTGTGCTCCTCGAACAGCTGTGTGAGCCGCTCCACGTAGAGCGCGTGCAGCGCGTCCACCTGCGCCCGGCCGGGCCGGGGGCTCCGCCGCACCTGGATCGGGGCCCCCACTGTGGGCGGAATGAGAGAGAGAGAGAGAGAGAGAGAGAGAGAGAGAGAGAGAGAGAGAGAGAGAGAGAGAGAGAGAGAGAGAGAGAGAGAGAGAGAGAGAGAGAGAGATCGCTGGGACTGTAACAGGGGTCATGGCACTAACAGGTGTCAGAGGCCAGCTTGAGGGTGAGGTCGGAGCGGCGAGTCCGGATCTCAGACCCCCAACCAGGGACCGAGCCGTCTGGCCCGGGGGGACGCGCGGGGTGGGGACTAGGCTCCGAGGGTGGGCGGCCGGGCTCACCTACGGTGCAGATGTGGCTGCGGAAGGGCAGGGGGCCCAGGCGGCCGTGGAACAGCGGCAGGGACAACCTCAGGAGCGGCTGCAGCGCCTCCTGAGCCATCCGCAACCACGAACCCGGGGGGTTCGGGACCTGCTGGAAGACGTCGTTCTCCCCAAAAGAGAAGACGGGAACCAGAGAGGCCCTGGGGGAGAGAGGCGTGCCTGGGTCCCGCCGGGCGGGCGCAGCGCTCCTCCCCCCGCGCGGGGCAGCGGCTCGCTCCTGCCCCCTCCCGGCCTCCTCACCCACCCGTGCTCCAGCGCCAGCTTGACGAATCCCTTCTGATTCCGGATCCGCAAGCTCAGCGCTCCGGGCTTTGCCTCCAGCGCCTCCAGGGGCCCTCCCACGGCCAGGACGGCCACCTGGCCGCCGCCAGGCCTAGACAGCAGATAGGCGATGCTGGCCTTGGCTGAGGACACCAAACCTGGGGGGAAGGCAGAGGCTGGGAGAGGAGTGGCCCCGGAGCCTGGGGCCTCTAGAAGAGACGGGAGGGCCCCGGGGAAGGCAGAGCTGGGACCGGGAGCCCCCAGGCTGGAGGGCAGGTCAGAGGTGACAGCAGGTCGGGCTCCCCACTCCTCACCACTAAGCATGATGCAGTCCCGGAAGACAGGAAGGTGGAACCAAAAGGGAAGCATGAGCAGGTGTGGGCGGAAGCCAGGGAAGAGGCGGGAGAAGCCGGTGGCCTCGGTGCAAAAGTTGCTAAAGGCCCCGATGACCAGGACGCCGTGAGGGTGGAAGCCGAAGAGGTAGTTGTGGGAGGGATCCAGCTCTGCGGTTTTAACCAGCTGGGGGGCAGAGGAGACACACCCCGCCCCCGTGGTGAGACTGGATGTGTGGGGGAGATGATTGGAAGGGTCTGTTTTGTATCTGTCCCCTCCCCAGCGGGGGGCTCCTGGGGGGCCTCACCGAGATGGGGAAGTAGTCCCGGAAGTGTCTCCAGATGGCCCAGTTGCGGACCCAGGCAGATCTGCGGCCTCCTGTCTGTGGGGTGTTCCTGTCTCCATAGAGCCAGACCAGGTAGAGGACCCCTAGTATCCAGGCCCGGCTTAGGAGTGCAAGGATCAGCAGAGCCAGGCACACCTGGGCTGGAGGATGGGTTGGGGCAGTGGTTGGCAAACTCATTAGTCAACAGAGCCAAATAGCAACAGTACAACCATTTAAATTTCTTTTGAGAGCCAAATTTTTAAAATTTCTTCTAACACCACTTCTTCAAAATAGACTCACCCAGGCCGTGGTATTTTGTGGAAGAGCCACACTCAAGAGGCCAAAGAGACACATGTGGCTTGCGAGCCGCAGTTTGCCGACCATGAGGTTAGGGAGTCTCAGGACCTGGGCATTTAAGTCCCAGATCTCCCCCTGGCCCACTCCCTTCCCTGCCCCAACTAATTCCTTCTCAGTCCTTGAAGGACCCAGAAGATCCCTGCCCCACCTCCCCCCTGTAATGGGGCAGCAGAGCCTCAGGCGTGTGTGAGGAGGTTAAGTCCAGGGATTCAGGGACTCACACAGCCCCAAGAAGAGGAAGAGCCATTGTAGGACCGCAAACACCTGGAGACTCCGGCAGAAGCGGCTGGAAGAGGCCGGCATTCCGTAGAGGGGAGTCGCACAGGGGCCACCCGGAGCTCTTAAGCTCGCCACTTTTGGGCCCAACCCATTTGCCCTGACCCCTGGCCCCACATGCTGACGTGGACACTAGGCTCTGATGAACTCAGGCAAGGAAGGGTTAACCACTACTGGAGCTCATGGAAGCGAGCAGGGGGGAGGTGTTTGGACTTTGTTTGTCAGGACCTCCCACCTCTGTGAAGAGCTAACAGAGGCCTGGGAAAGTGGGGGGTTTGCCAGAGCCACCAACATGAGGGAGAACAGCCTGGAAACCTTTAGGCAGCCTAGGACTCTGTGCAGAGACGCTACAGAGGGAAGGGCTTTGTGGGAAAAGCTAAGGACTGAGCCGTGGGCACCCCTCCAAGTAAGTTGGGGCCAGTCCTCACTGTCACTATGACCCTACCCAACCGCGTGACCAGAGGCCTTGTGAGAGCTGGCACCTTCTCCAGGTCAGGGGATGTCACTTCTTTTATTTTTATTTTTTTATCCTAGGTGTGCTAATGCCAACATCACTACTATATCTGAGTCTGGTTATGTTGCTTGTTCTGTCTCTTCAAACTATGCTTTTTGCCTTTTAGTATATCTTGTGATTTTTTTTTTTGTTGAAAGCCAGGCATGATATACTAGATAAAAGAAACTATAGAGTAAGTAGACCTTTGGTGGTGTGGTGGTAAGGTGTGGGGAAGGGGAAGCGTCTACAGTCCTGTGACCAAGGCCTCAGTCTGTCAGTGAGCCTGTGTCCCTGACCTGTGAACGCCACGCATGCTTCTCTGTCTCCTCCAGGTGCGGCAGGGCAACTAGAGGGGGGAGGGGGGTTCCGGTACATTTCTCTTTCTCCAGGTTTGGTAAGGTCTGATAAAACTCCAATATGTTAGGCTCTGGTAAAGTAGCTTCTCTTGAGGTCAGGCCTTGTAGATGGAATGCACTGGCATAGGGAACGTCACTTCTTTAGGAAAGTCTGACACCCATCCCTTCAAGTGCCTTTGTCACATGCTTTCCTAGCACAGAATAGTTTCCCCCCATTATGGTAATTTTCAGATTAAGGTCTCCCCTACACTGTAAGCAACAAGAGGCAGCCCTGGGAGGTGCTTTGTAAATGGATGGACCCCCTGGAGGAGACAGCTTCCAATGCCCAGGTTGGCACACCCTTTCTGTCCCATTCTTGTGCGGCTTCCACATCCAGGGACCTCACCAGGAGGCATTTTCTGCTGTCCCTGCTCAGCACACTTCCACCACCAGGGTGAGAGAACTTAAAAGTCCAGCCAGAGAAACGCTCAGTCCTCGTGGAGAGGTGATCCACCCACTCAGGTGACCTGCCCCGCCCCCAGGAAGGCAGGCTTCATAGGGCAGTTTTCCCGGGAGTCAGGGCAGGAGGCAGGAATAAAGTGGACAGCAAATGAGGTGTAGGAGGCGGGAATTTCCTGGGACAGGTGAACAGGCTTGTTTGGTTTTTAAAAGGCTTCTTCTGCAAGAGAACAATTGGAGATAAACTCAGGGAAGATGGGCTGATGCAAGGCTGGCGAAGACCAAGCTGAAGGGGCGTGGCTGGCTGGCCTCCGGGTCCCTGGTGAAGGGGTCTTGGCTTGATGGCCCCTTAGAAGCTGGAAACAAGACCTGCTCTCAGGAGGTCTCTTTTCCAAGGCCGCTTCCTATTCCTCTTCCAGGAGGCTTTCCTTGGAATGAAGCAGCAGGCCTTTCCCTTTCCTGATTACCCTCTCTCCCCCCCTCCCCCCACTAAAAACTTAGGTCTCAGCAGCAGCAGTAAGGCCCTTGCCTGCCTTCCCTCATAGGACACATGCCTCCAGGGAGTCTTCCTTCTCTGAGCACCGTCCCCGGAGCCCAGCTCAGGGATATGCCACCCGCCTTTCATGTAAAGATGCCATCAAGTGATGATGGATGCTCTCAGGGAGGAGTGGGTGGCTTTCAACAGACCCTGACGGTGAAGTCCTTTTGGTTTGACCCTTCTCTGGCACTTCCCAAGCTCAGGCAATAACGGGCAGCGAGAACTGGCATCCAGGGAAGCTTCCAAGTTCCCACACATTCTGCTTCTGCCTTTTCCTCTTCTCTGTTCTCTTTCTTTAGAGTAACTCTAGTCTCTCTCTACTCTGGGTGGCAGGAGGGGTGCAAGGTCAATAGGTAGATGAAAGTTAATAAATGGACTCGAAAGTTACAAATCCTCCTTTATTGGGAGTGAGGCTAAGAAACAATAAGTTATCACATGGGGAACCCCAAGAAGCTCTCTCCCATGAACTCTTTCTTGGGGGCTGAGGAGCGGGACTTGGGGCTCCAGGAGCTTCTTGAGAGGGCTGTGCGTTGGGGGTTGGGGAGCGAGGTGAGACATCCAGTCCCAGGCTCACCGGACATACACTCAGAAGACGAAGAGCCAGACAGACCCCCTCTGAGAGCGAGGATAAGAAGGCACAATGGCAGGAGAGGTGTGGCACAGTTGTTGAGTGTCAGGGGTCGACAAAGGACACCATGATGTAGCGAGTGCCCCTCGTGGTAGGCAGCCCCTCATGGTAGTGGGTGAGACGGCCAGGGTGCAGAAGCCCCCAGCCCTTCCGTGGGGCTGAGATCACGCAGTCGTAGCGTAAGAAGCGGCAGCCGCCTCCCTGGGAAGGGGACACAAGAGGAGAGTGAATAGACATGGTGGCAGACAAATAAAGGGGGCAGACAGATACAAGGACACAAGAGGCAGACTAAAGATATAAGGGAGGGGTTTTTTAGGGGGTTTGGGGTGTCAGCAGATGGGGAGATGCAGGAGAAAGAGGGCAGGAGCCAGTCTGGAAGTGACCCAGGAGAGAATAGCAAAATAACTGGGGAAGGTGCAGGGCAGGAAAGGCACCTAGGGCTGTGTGCAGGTGAGTAGGGAGTGGACACAGGCTTCCAGTAGGAGTGTGTGTGTGTGTGTGTGTGTGTGTGCGCGCGCACACACACGGGCACACATGCAGATGCCATGGTGGTGCCCCGAAGTGGGAAGACACTAGGGGCTCACCTCATAATCCAGGTCCTTGTGGTTGAGAGCAACGTTGAGAGTAAAGGTGGACGAATCATGATGTGGCCGCAGAGAAGGCTGTTCATCCGGCCGGTAGCGGACCACGAAGTTCATCACTGCCCGGGTCTGTGGGGACACGAGGAGAGAGGCGGAGAGATGACCCTCAGGTCCTAGGGCTCTCCTGATGAAGTGACAGCTCCTGTCCAAGGAGTGGGAGTGGCTGCAGGGGTCTGGGACTGGGGTGTGGGGAGGTTGAGGGAGCAGGCAGGAGCAGCGCCCACCTTGGTGTGGTAGCCTGGGAACAGGCTCTCGGTCATGGGCCCCACGTACGTCCTCAGCAGCTGCAGCCACTGGTCTTCGTAGCCCACCTGCTTCATGTGGATGTCCACGGTGGGCACGTTCTCATAGCCCCCAGCCAGTCTTGAGTCCTGTGGACGGCGGGCACTGAGCCCCTGGCAGAGCAGTGCCAGCCTCCCCTCTGCTCTTGCTCCCAGGTCTGAAAGCCCGTGTTCCCTCGTCTGGAACAGCCTCAACCGCTTCTTAGCTCGACTCACACTTATGGTCTCTTTAAGTCTCAGCTAAGACGGCACCTCTTCTGTGAAGCCCCTTAGTCCCACAAGCCTGGGCCAAGGGCCCGTCCTGTGGCTCCCACATGCCATTCTGATAGCACAGGTGAGAAGGCAGAATTTGGCCTGCACAACTCAACAGGGCACCTCAGGGGCTGGCACTGAGGACCTGCCCAGTAAGGATACATGAATGGATGGATACATGAATGGATACATGAATGAATAAATAAATGCGGCTGTGACCCCTGTGGGCCCATCCCCTTGGGGACCACTCTCTGTTCCCGCTCTCCTGATTCTATTTTCCCTCCGTCGGACCCAACAACTCCCTCCTCCTGGAAGGGGCCCTCCTTTCTCCCCTCCCCCGCCCCTCTCACCTCATGCCGGCCTCCTGACCACTGACCATAGTGCTCCATTTCCTCCACCAGCTCATCACACATCTGGTCTGAGAGCAGAGGGAACCAGTACACATCTGGGCAGGGCTAAGGACAGGGCAGGGGAAGAACAACTTGTTCAGTCACGGGGCTGGATGACACGAGGAGGGGGAGGCAGGCAGCCAAGGAAAGAGAGGAAAAGCAGGAAGTTTAGAAAGGGAAGCCAGGCCGAAACCGGTTTGGCTCAGTGGATAGAGTGTCGGCCTGCAGACTGAAAGGTCCCGGGTTTGATTCCGGTCAAGAGCATGTACCTTGGTTGTAGGCACATCCCCAGTAGGGGGTGTGCAGGAGGCAGCTGATAGATGATTCTCTCTCATCGATGTTTCTAACTCTCTATCCCTCTCTCTTCCTCTCTGTAAAAATTCAATAAAATATATTAAAAAAAAGAAAGAAAGAAAGAAAGGGAAGCCAGGAGATGAGAGAAGCTAGGAGAATGGGGATCTGAGTGAGGGGATGGGCAGCAGTAAAGGCTCAGCCAGGAGAGTCTGAGCCAGAGGCAATGGGAGCAGCACGGAGAACACAGCACACATGGCAGGAGAGTCCTGGAGGCCCAGATTCTGGGCCAGCGCTTCTCAAACTTCTCTACGAAAATGTCATTTTGTAGACAAGAGAGGCTCACTGAGTGATGCTGGGGAGGGGAGCTGAACGCCTATCGGATCAGCCCTTCCTTCATCTTGCCCAGGGAAGAGAACCCTCAGGCACCTGAAGGAAGTCAGTCTGGAAACTGCTAATCGGACGGCGGGCCCCGGGGATGACAGCCATCAGGCAGCAGGGCATCCGGAGTGAGGCTCACCTGCTCCACGAGTCCGTCCCCTTCCAGAGCCCGGCTGTAGTTCTCGTGGATATACTGCTCCTTCCAGTCCTGGCGGGAGGCAGGGGAGTACACCTTGACGTGTGTCCTCTTTACTTCGTCTGGTCCCACCCAGGAAGCCCCTCCCCGGCAGCAGCAGGTCCTGCCAGGCTGTCATGCCCATGTGCATCCTCCTCTGGTGAAGGCCATTCACACTCTTTGAGCCGGGCCCCCCCACTCACCAGGGGGTTGTCAAAGATCTGCCAGAGGTCGGGGTGCAGGTGGTCTGTGTCGTACCGGGAAGTGGCCAGGAGGCGGCCAAACTCATGTTGGTTGCTGAGATGGAGGAAGATGCCCTGGAGCGGGGAGAGGGTGTGAGAAGGAGACAGGCGGTGGCTGCCCCCCAGCACCCTGGCATTGGGCCCTGCTGCCACGCTCACCTTGTCCCTCAGGCTCTTACAGAAGGCCATGTCTGGGTCGGTGTCACTGCCGGAGAACACCGCCCTCTGAGGCAGCTCTGTCCGTAAGGTGTCCCCCCGGATCACGTACGCCTGGGAAATGTAGGGCACGTTCCACACGCCCCTGGAGGTACCGACACTAGGGTCAGCTAGGTGGGTAGACCCCAAAATTCTGCCCAGTTCAGCCTGGGAGCCCCTTCCATCAGGGACACCCCACTCTCTGAGCTGAGAGGCCATCTCACTTCCTCTGTCAAGCACTCCTGGTCACAACCTACCAGTGGCCCCCTTCACAGCCAGCTTCTACCCACAGCCGCACCAGAAGATCCCTGAGACTGAGGCCTTGGGAGAGGGTGGGGCATCTGTTCAGGCCCGGGCGGGAGGAGGAGAGGGGCTGCAGCCCTGGCGGGACTCACACTCGCTTCCGCTGCACCAGCTCCACGTAGTCCTCGGAGCGCGCGTAGTACTCGTCGGGACTCAGGGCTCCCCAGAAGTTGGACCACAGCTTCCCATGGCGGGATAGCATGGGCGCGATGACCTTCCTGTGAACAGGTGGACGTGAGGATTGGGCCAAGGCGGGCCCCGTGCCCAGGGAAGGAGCTGGGGTCCCCGGGGGACCACTTGGGGGCCCTCTGGCTGAGCCGGGCAAGCAACCTGTTTTCTTCAATGAGGATGCGCAGGACCTGCTGGTTGGTGATGACGGCATCAGCATCCAGACTGAAGTAGAATTCACACTTGGGGTCCTGCCGACACTTGTCCCTGCGACAGACCAACAGACAGAGGAGCTGAAACTGAAGCAGGTGGGGGAGGAAGGTACTGCAGAGGGGGCGAAACTCCCCCTCACTCTGGGACCTCCAGGTTGTCGAGTCTGAGAGAGAGAGAGAGGGGCAAGGGAGGGACAGGACATATGGTGGCCAGGAAGGCAGCACTGACGGATGGAGAAGGAAGGGTGGTGCAGTGGGTGGCAGCCTCATCACCTCCCACCTCCTTTCCCCCACTGAGCCTCCCTGCCCCGGTCTCACTCACATGGCCATGTCCCTGGCCTCGCCTGGGGTCAGGGCCTCCTCTGGCCCCACCAGCTTCACAGCTGAGAAGTGGTCCTGGAGCTGGGGCCAGGAGTCGGCAATGTGGGGTTCATGGTACACCTCCTGGAGATGGGAGGAAATGGGGGAGGGAGCTGAGAGGGCAGAAAAGATGGCACTTGGGAGGCAAGGATGGGGTGGAGGGCGTCAATGGAGAGAAAAAAGGGGCGCATTTGTAATATTTCCAACAATAAGCATAGTGTGAAAAAACAGAAGATATGGCACCTGACGGATGGGATAGGAAAGGTGGTGAGTGACCAGAGTATAGGAAGCAGAGGGGAGTTCTGATCAGGGCAGGTCCCTTGGTAAAAGGCGAAAGATTTATGCGATCTTAAGAGAAGCCAGAGTATAGGGCAGGTCCCTTGGAAGGGCCCACAGGGAGAGACTGTCAGGGGGTCTCACGTTGTTATGTAAGAAGAGGGTGATCCTGTCGGGGGGATAGTCCAGGAGCATCAGCCTTTGCAGGAAGCGGGGCAGGAACGGGGTAGGCTGTTCCACAAACACGGCCAGAAGCACCCGGGGGGGAGGCTGGAAGATACATGACAGGGCTCAGAGGAGAGCCTGGCACTCCCAAGTGCTCTGTCCTCTACAACCTGGCCAGGTTTGGGGGTTCCAGGAGCTCTGCCACCCTGCTTCAGCGTGCTCTCTCCTGCCCTACCCCTCCTCACCTGCCCCTCTGGGAGTGTCCTCCGGTCCTGGTCACAGAATCCACAGCCTCCCCCAGGAGTCCAGCCGTTAGGGACATAGTTTCCCAGGTAATTCAGCTGGAGCTGTTGGAAGAGACAGGGAGAGAGGCTAGCCAGAGGGGCCCATCACCAGAGATGAGGGAAGGCGGGCAGACAGACGGGAACAAGGAAGGGAGCAGTGGGCGCCGAGAACCTCTCCTCATATTTCTGCTGCTGGGGCTGGGAAGGACCAACGGCTCAGAAGGGCTGGGATTAGGTCTGGGGCAGGGACAGAAGTTGTGGGGCCAAGCCTGGGACAGGGATTAGGGGCTGGGGCTGGGACTAAGATTGGGGCAGGAGTGGGGGCCAGGCCTGAGGCCAGGATCTACTGGGGCAGAGGCTGGGCTGGGGGTATGAGCCATATAGGGCACCTTAGTAGGACCGTTCCCGTGCACCACAACAGGAAGCGTGTCGTAGGCCACATTCCGTATACGCACACGATTTTGATCAAATTTTAAAACCACCTCATCTGGGGAAGAAATGCCAGCATTTAGACTTGCTTTCTCTTGAAGCTGCCATGCAGCAGGTGCTTCTAAATATGGGGGAATCCAGCTACTCTGATGCCACCCTGCGGAACTCCTTCAGTGTAACATGCAGACAACCGCAGACCCCAGTCCTCCTTTGTAGCCTAGTTGTGTTAAAGAAATTACAGAAGCAAAGCCTTTGACCCAGGGCCTTGGCACATAGTATGTTTCATAGATGTTAGGTATGACAGCTGCTGCTTTTACCACTGCTAGCACCTTTCTCAGCCATTCAGACACTTGATGACGACAACCCCAATTCCAGCAGGAGCCCCTTCCTAATTCAGGACCCCCAGCAGCCTCTCTCCCCTTCCCTTCTGATTGCCTTTCTCCTCACCTAAAGCCCCATTGAGGTTCTGAAAGATCCGGGATTTATGGTCCAGATTAAGGCTGAATTTCTCCTGGATGGGATAAGATGGAACAGTTAATTCAAGAAGGGGTAGGACACCATTTCTCACTCTTTTCCCTTTACATCTTTCCGAAAGCCTCTTCACGCCTTCTCTCCCATTCAGCTAAGGCCTGCCATCCCATAGAGCTGCAGGGGGTCAGTCACCCCTTCTCTGTCCGTCCTTACCCTCAGTCCTGGGTCCAGATAGAGTCGCGTGTAGAACAGCTGATCGTCATCGTCATCCTTGTACTTCCACTGGCGGACAATTTGGTGGACGGTGGGGGCAAAGCCAATGAATCCTGTAGGGGGTAGAGGGGGGGGGGAGCTGACTCCAAGACTCCCCAGGTCCATGAACCTGTCTCCACTCCCTCTCTGGGCTCCCGGCGCCTGGAACACTCCATACCCCATCACTCTGGGTCCCTCTGCCTCGGCACTCTGCCACTCACCACCAGAGTTGAGGAAGCGCTTCCCCGTGCCCACCTCAGGGTACTGCTCTGCCAGCCCCCACTCAGGCCAGCAGAAGCTCTCTGCAGAGAACAGCAGGCGGCTGCCACTCTGGACGAACTTCTTCAGCAGTTCGGAGGGGCTGCCAGCCAAAATCACATCATAGCTGGCAAGGAAGGGGAGGATGAACAGCACAGCCACTGGGAGCGTGAGGACCCTCACCCTCTTCTTGCTGGCCCCACCCCTTTCTCCGGACCCCCAGCCCCTTTACCTGTCCACAAACATGATGATCATATCCTCCCGGTCTTTGTATTTCTCCATTTCCTTCTTGAGCCACCTAACCTTCTGTCCTCCACCGACTGTTCTGGCCACATCACCTCCTCGCCACTTCTCTCCCAGGCCCAGCGTCTGTGGGGGAGACCCGCCATGGCAGGCAGGCAGGCAGGCATTCAGCGGGCCAGGCTCACCGTGGGACCCCAGGCATCCAGTCTGGGGCACTCCTCCAGTTGGAATTTCACCACACCCCGCCCCCTGCCTCCCCCTCCCCCCTAGCGGCAGGAGGGCTTCCTCTCCTCACCCGCACTGTGTAGTTGAAGAACTCAGCTGACCGCAGGAAACGCCGGTATCCCTCTGTCTCAGCGGTGGCCACGGTAATCACCAGCAACTTCTCTGTTACCAGCGGGGAATGAGCACCCGGGACACTCACCCAGCCCACGGCCCCACATGCTCCACTCCTCTCAGGTCTTCTTCCCCTCCTTCAGACTCTGCTAAGGTCCCTTCCCTTTTGTCTCCCCATTCCCTCTGAAATCTACCCCCAAGGAAACTTCCTCCCCAGTGAGAACGTGACATCCAGGACGGGGTTGACCCGTAGTTCAGGGTCGGCAGTGAGCAGTTCCGTCCTAAAGAGCACGGGGCGAGGGAGAGCCCCGACACCCATGCTGCCTCCTCGCCCCAGCCCCGGTGGACAGGCACTGCAGCCCCGAGCTCGCTCGGCTCTCCCTGAGGGTTCACCTGGGTTGACAGGGGATCCACTCTGGGGTCGGTCAGAAGCCGAGGCCACAGGAGGCGGCGACAGCAGCAGCAGCAGGAGCAGCAGGAGCGGGAGTCCGGGGCCCCAGGAGGCCATGGCGGGGAGCTGGCCGAGACCGCGCACAGGCCCGCGCCTGGTGCCCGCTGCGCGCCCGGAGCCGAACCGCGCAGCGCGGGGCTCTGGGAAGGCGACCCGGGCTACTGCGCGGCTCCCAGCGAGGAAGCGCCGGGCTGCGGCTCCGCCCTGGAAAAAAGGCGTAGCCGGGGGTTACCGAAAACTCCAGATGCCGGCGCCCCAGACAAGGCGAGGATTGTCCCGGGCGCGGCGAGCTGCGGAGCGAGCGGAGGGGCCGCTGGGCCGCGAGGCGAAAGCGGGGCGGGGGCTCGGGCCCGGGGCACCAGCTGAGGACTTTGGTCCCAGGCAGCCCAACCACGGCTCGCTCGCAGACACCGGAGAAAACTGAAACATGGAGAGGGGAAGTGACCCCTTGCGGTCCGCCGAGAGGCGGGTCTTCGCCATCGCCCTGCCCCGGCGGGCGGCGGGGCGGAAGACTGGAGAGCGAGGCTGTGGGGACGCGCGGGGCGGGGGCGGTGGAGGAGCGGGCCGAAGGCAGAGAGGGGGCCGAGGAGGCTGCAGCCCCAGAGGAGCTAGTTGTGCAAGTGTCTGTGGAGGTCATCAGGGACCTCTCGGGCCGCCCACTCAAGCCTGCTCATAGTCTTTGGGAGTCCCTTCAGTCATCTTCACGCCCCGGGAGAAGCTCCAGTGGCTGCCTTTGTGACAATGGCATGTAAAGAAGGACCAAAGGAAAATGATGTTTCTCGAAAGACCACGGGCACCACATCTTTAAAACGTCCCATTTCAGGGTTCCCGCAAAATACAAAGCTACTCTAAGGCCGGAAGTACTTTTGCCCCTATAAAATATGGCAGAAAGCGTGCTCATCTCCAAGGGAACATCATGTAATTAGTCAAGGCGTAATATTGCGCACGCGTAGAAGCGCGCGTCGCCGGAAGTGATGTGCCCTTAGTGAAGCGGCTGGCGTAGGACGCGTGCGTAACTGGCTCTTCCGTCAGCTGTGTTGTGGAAATGGTGGAGAAGAAAACTTCGGGTATGTGCGCCCCCGGGGCTTTGCTTCCTTCCTTCTCTCAAATCCGAACCTGGCCTAAGATTTTTCTCACCTCATTATTAGTCTCAAATCCTTTCCCGGGTCCTCGCTCGGGTCCTGACCTCGGGGCTGCCCCGCATCATCCAATCACGTTTTATTGATGCCTGTTCCCAGTGGGACTCTGGGGATGGAGAAAGGAAAAAAGGTCCTTATTTTCCTAGAACTGGCTTTTTGGGAGGAGGGCAGATGTGCAGACCTACCATTGTACTTTGTACGTGCTATGGCAGAGGGATGTGCAGCGCCTGGGTGCATGAAGGAGAGGCACCCAGTCCAGCTTCTGGAAAGGAGGGGACTGTGAAGGACTGTAGGGGAAGGGAACGCTTGAAAACCTCGTTTCGCTCCGTGCAGGTGCGTGTGGGCTCATTCCCGGCAGCAGGAACCACACTTGCAAAGGAAAGAAAGCAAGAAAATCAAGTTGCTTAGGAAGCCAAGTTCATGGTGCAGGGTTTGCAGAGGCTTAGTAAAAGAGGCTGGAGGGCTAGGGAAAGACACCCTTGAAAGACATTATATACTCTGCCAATGAATTTTAACTCAGAGCAGTAGAGAACCATCCAAGGCATTTAAACTAGGGGAGTGACGGAAACTAATTTATCTTTTAGAAAGGCAGTTCTGGCTTCAGTGCAGAGGACCGATGGGAGGGACGAGAGCAGCACTGTCCGGTAGCATTTTGGGGGATGATGGGAATGTTTTTAGTCAGCACTGTTCATCATGGCAGCCATTAGCTGCATGTGGCTGTTGAGCACTTGAAATGTGGTTAGTACAATCGAGGAACTGAATTTAAATTTTTATTTCATCTTAATCTACATCTCACTTTAAATAATCACATGTGATTAGTGGTTAGTTGATTGTATAGCACAGGTCTAGAGGCTGAAGGCCAGTGAGGAAGCCATTAAGTGGTCCAGATAAAAAGAGATGAGGGTCAGAATACCTTCAGATTGACTCGTAATAAATTCAGTCATGTCACTCCTTTTAAAAAAAAATGTTTTTTGTTGTTTGATTTTGAGGGGGTGGAAGATGAGGGGGAATAGAGAGAAACATCCATGAAAGAGAAACATCATTGATTGGCTCCTTCCTGCACGCCCCCTACTAGGCATCTGCTGGCAATCTGAGCATGTGCCTGACTGGGAATTCAACCAGCGACCTCTTGATTCATAGTTGACACTCAACTACTGAGCCACCCCAGTCGAGCATCACTCCTTTAGAACTCCTCACTGTATTTCTATCACCCTCACCATAGAATCCTCAAATTCAAATTTTTATAGATACTGAAAAGAAAGTTTCTTAATGGTCTGCATGACTTCATAACTTCCTTCCCCCCACACATACTTTATATACCAGCCACAATATTAAAAAGAGAACTTTTAAAAAATATATATATTTTATTGATTTTTTACAGAGAGAAAGAGAGAGGAATAGAGAGTTAGAAACATCAATGAGAGAGAATCATCCATCAGCTGCTTCTTGCACACCCCCTACTGGGGATGTGCCCGCAACCAAGGTACCTGCCCTTGACCGGAATCGAATCCGGGACCTTTCAGTCCACAGTCTGAAGCGCTATCCACTGAGCCAAATCGGTTTTGGCAAAAAAAGAAAAAAGAAAAAAAAAAAAAGAGAACTTTTAATTTATTGAAGGCACCACAGTCTCCTATCCAAGCCTTCTCTCATGCTGGTCCCAAGGCCTGAGACACCCTCCCTTCTCTCCCAACCAAGTTAAATTCTATTCATCGATCAGCCCTCAGCTTGTGCGTATTTCCTCTGGAAAATCTTCCTGACTACTCCAAGGCCAGGCTCTGTCATGCGCTCTGTAGCACTTTGTACTTTCCTGTACTAGCAGGTACTATACTTTACCATTCTTGTTTGATCATTTGTATTCCCCACTAGACTATAGGCCCTGGTTGTATTCCAAGAGCTTAGGGCATAACCTGGCACCTGGAAGGGAGGCAGACTAGTGCAGTGATCAAGAGCATGTTTTATGATGCTGGGCAGTTTGGCATTTGAATTCTGACCCAGCCACTTTCTAGCTATGCAAAGTTCAGTAAGATGGGGATGATAATGATACCTTTTCCATAGGATTATTGTAAGGGTTAAAGGATTCCTTTTATATAGAGCTTAATATAGTGTGTGGCTCATTGTTCATGCCCAGTTATTATTATGGTTATAGACTCTTGGTAAATATTTGTTTAATGAATAAATAAATATTTTGTGGTGAACAGCTGATATGATAATGAAGAGAGAGCTTTAAAATAATCCTAGATTTTTGGTTTGGATGTCTATGTAGATGGTTTCATTCACTTAAAGTCTACTGGGGAGATTTTTAAATTTGAGTTGCATTATCAATGGAGTCAGCAGGTAATCTCCTGCAGCCAGTCAAATAGTCAGTTTTGGAGTTTATGAGAAGGTTTTGGATTGAGAAAATCACCTTTGGAACCATTTGCTTATAGGTGAGAGAGCCTTGTGTTTGGATTAAAAATCTCAGGAAGAGTTTATAAACTGAGAAAGATAACAGGGACAAACATCTCCTTAGAGGCAGAGAAAGAAGGCAAGGTTGGAAACAGAAGCATAGCCAGATATGGAAGGAAAACCTGGAGTCATGTTAAAGAAGCCTCTGAAGGGACTCTTTCAATGCAATTCTCAGAGTATAGAGAACTCAGGTAAAATGCACTCTGGGCTTGGCCCGAGGAGGTCACCAGAGTCCCGAGAATGTGTGATTTTCATAAACTCCAGCTGGTTGTTGGGGTTGAGGGCTGGATGGGAGATGAAGAAATGGAACATCACATGGACCACTCTGTCAAAGAAAAGTAGCTGTGGCCGAGACTGGTTTGGCTTAGTGGCTAGAGCATCGGTCTGCGGACTGAGGGGCCCCAGGTTCGATTCCGGTCAGGGGCATGTACATTGGTTGTGGGCACATCCCCGGTGGGGGGTGTGCAGGAGGCAGCTGGTCGATGATTCTCTCTCATTGGTGTTTCTGACTCTCTATCCCTCTTCCTTCCTCTCTGAAAAAAATCAATAAAATACAATATATATTTTTAAAAAGTAGCTGTGAAGTTGGATAGACATGAGAGAGTTTAGTAGGTTTTTCCATGAAGGGAAAGTACCAGTTGAGGAGGAGAGGTTGAAGATACAAGAGGGAGGGGAAGACTCAGCTGCAGGTGAAGAACTGGGTTTAGCAGTGAGACTTGCTGGGGCTCCCAAGCAATTATGACTGAGGGTGGGCTAAAAGATGAGAGTGTCTGCATGTCAGTGGTCCATTCCCTTTGAGGTAGGAAATGAAATTGCATGAAGGCCAAGTGCATGAAGGTACCAACGGAGCCTGGGAGCCCTGAATTTACAGTGGTGTCGTTAATACAGTTGTGTGATTTCTGTCAGCATTTCTCTGATTGGATCCTCTGGGATTGGGAGGAAAGCTGCAGCCAAAGACATAGAAAACAGGCATGAATGACTGAAATGGCAAACTTAACTAGCTGGGAAGGAAGCAAACCAGAGGGGCTGATATACATCCCCCATTAACCACAGAGGGGTTCCAAGACCACCAATGGAGCCTGAAATTTCAGACAGTATTGAATCCTATACATATGTTTTTTCCTACATACACACACACACACACACACACACACACACACACACATATATATATATATATATATATATATATATATACATATATATATATATATATATATGTTTTATTGATTTTTCACAGAGAGAAAGAGATAGGGATAGAGAGCTAGAAACATCGATGAGAGAGAATCATCGATCAGCTGCCTCTTGCACACCACCTATTGGGAACATGCCCTTGACCAGAATCAAACCCGGGACCCTTCAGTCCACAAGCTCTATCCACTGAGCCAAACCGGTTTTGGCCATATATATTTTTTAAGGCTTCTCTTTGGCATGTACTTGACATCACTACACTTGTGTTTTGGGGCCAAAATAAGGGTTGCTTAAACACAGGTATTTTGATACCACAACAATTGATCTGATAACTGACATGGCTACTTAGTGGTTAACGGGCAGGTAGTGTATACAGCCTGGATACTTGGAAAAGAGATGATTCACAGAAAGGAGTGGTTGGCATGAGATTTCATCACAGGTTCCTGTTTTTGGTGGCTCTGGATGCTGTAACTCTTATGTGGTACTAGAGCTAGAACACTATGCAATTTAAAACTTATGAATTGTTTATTTCAGTTTAACATTTTTAGATCACAGTTGACCGCAGGTAACTAAGACTGCAGAAAATGAAATCTCAGATAAGGGGGAACCACTGTATTGGTAGGAGATATAGGGGCCGAGGTCTCAGTGACTAGGATCTGGGACTCCACACCCCATGGATATCATCTACACACTGCCCAGAGCCTGGGTTACCCCAGCTTCTCTCTTCTCTGTGTTCCCCACCCCCCCCAACTCTTCTGGTTTTGTCCCATATAGTTCGCTCCCAGGACCCTGGACAGCGGCGGGTGCTGGACAGGGCCGCTCGGCAGCGGCGTATCAACAGGCAGCTTGAGGCCTTGGAGAATGACAACTTCCAGGATGACCCCCACGCAGGACTCCCCCAGCTTGGCAAGAGACTGCCTCAATTTGACGATGATGCAGACACTGGTGAGGCGGGTGGGACTGGGGACACATGGCTGAAGGAAGGGGAAAGAGTCAGCCTAGATTAGGGTTGGGGAAATACATTGAGCTGGGGGTCAGATGACCCAGGAGCTTCTCTGGCTCTGCCAGGAATTGGCTCCTGTGACTTTGACCAAGTCCCTCTCCCCATTCTGTGCCTTAGTTTCCTCTTGTGTATTTAGAATAAAGACAATAGAGTAGGTGAGCTCTGAATTCCCTTCCAGTTCCAATACAAAGTCTTAGATTTAGGGAGTGTAGAGATGAAGAACAGCTGGGATTGGAGAAGTTGGGGGAAGGGAAAAAGATGGTAGACAGGCCTTCTGAGAGTCCAGGGGGTATGTGAGTGGGGAATGGACACGAAGGCACTGGGAACGAGGGGGCAGGGAAAGGTGGTGCATTTCTTGGAACGTGTCAAGTAACTTATTTCTTCTGACCAATAGGAAAGAAAAAGAAGAAAACTCGAGGCGATCATTTTAAACTTCGCTTCCGGAAAAACTTTCAGGCCTTACTAGAGGAGCAGGTGAGAGAGGAGCTGGCGGGGAGGAACCCACAGAGAAGGGCCGAGCCCACAGAGATGCTTGTCCATGGAGGGTGTTTGCTGTGAGGGTGGAGGAGTTGTGTAGTCTCCCCCTTTGTATCTGCAGAACCTGAGTGTGGCCGAGGGACCCAACTACCTGACAGCTTGTGCGGGACCCCCATCCCGGCCCCAGCGCCCCTTCTGCGCTGTATGCGGCTTCCCCTCTCCATACACCTGCGTCAGCTGTGGCGCCCGGTACTGCACTGTGCGCTGTCTGGGCACCCACCAGGAAACCAGGTTAGCTAAGAATATGCCCCAAATCCACACCCTTTTCCTCCTACGTCCCACAGCCTCCCAGGCCCTCCCCTCATCCTGGGTTTCTCTGCCTGTAGATGCCTTAAGTGGACGGTGTGAGCCTGGGTATCCCTGGAGAGGAAGGCCCTCTGTGCATCAGCCTGTCCTCAGAAAGGACATCACAGGAATGAAAGGTGCTCTCCTGGACCAAGAGAGGAACTGTTCATTCACCCAACAACCTTGTGTCTTATCCTCCAGAGACCAGGCTTACTCCCAGGGATGTGGCAGGGAAGTGGGCCACCCCCCAGGGTACTGTCATAATATTAATAAAAGGTCTTATGTGAGGAGGCACCTACTTTTTGGTCACATGGTGTTTCGGGGTTGAGGTTGATGGGTCATCTGTTTCTCCTACTCTTGTCTTTTTTTTTTCTACCTGTCAATCACTGCTCCTACTCTCTGCCCCTCTAGGTCCCTGACCATGAAAGATTGTGTCCCATTCTCCATGTCTCTGCATTTCTTGGCTGCTTCTTTATATCATATTTTTGGTTATTGATTTAGTTAAATTGTTTTTACTTTTTGTTTTTCTTTGTTCTTCTGAATGATTTTTAAAAATATATATTTATTGCCGGGACCGGTTTGGCTCAATGGATAGAGCGTCAGCTTGGGGACTGAAGGGTCCCGGGTTCGAATCCGGTCAAGGGCATGTACCTTGGTTGCGGGCAAATCCCCAGTAGGGGGTGTGCAAGAGGCAGCTGATCGATGACTCTCTCTCATTGATGTTTCTAACTCTCTATCTCTCTCCCTTCCTCTCTGTACAAAATCAATAAAATATATTTTATAAAATATATATATATATTTTATTGAGTTTTTATAGAGAGGAAGAGAGAGGGATAGAAAGCTAGAAACATCGATGAGCCGGACCGGTTTGGCTCAGTGGATAAAGCGTCGGCCTGCAGACTGAAAGGTCCTGGGTTTGATTCCGGGCAAGGGCATGTACTTTGGTTGCGGGCACATCCCCAGTAGGGGGTGTGCAAGAGGCAGCTGATGGATGATTCTCTCTCATCGATGTTTCTAACTCTCTATCCCTCTCCCTTCTTCTCTGTAAAAAAATCAATAAAATAATTTTTTAAAAAGTATTTGTTGAATGTATGACCTCAATAGATTAATGATATTCAGCAAAGTCAGAGTGAAACATCTTTTTAGGCACTTCTCCCCATTTCGGTGGACTTTCTTGGCGCCGGCTCAGATGTTCCTGGTGTCTTCCTGAGGACTGCTTGCCCTTTCTCTGGAGACCTGCAGTTGGGCAAGTGGTGTTGGTGACAGCTTTGTGTTGAATGGTGGTGAAAACAGGGTTTACAGTACTAAATGTGGTGTTTTTATGTAATTGATGGCTGTAAATTTTTTTACTATTCTTACATTGAAGATGGATTGTTTTTGTCCCCTTCTTCTGGGATCTGGGTAGGCTTATGATTCCTTCACCTAGGAGAGAACGGCAGAAGTGAAACTATGTTATGTGTAAGACTAGGTGTAAAAGGCAGTGCACCTTCTGCCTTGTTCCTAGGACACTTGTTTTTTTTCTTAAATTAAATTTATTGAGGTGACATTGGTTAATAGGATCATATAGATTTTTTTAAAATATATTTTTATTGATTTTTTACAGAGAGGAAAGGAGAGAGAGAGAGAGCCAGAAACATCGATGAGAGAGAAACATCGACCAGCTGCCTCTTGCACACCCCCTACCGGGGATGTGTCCGCAACCAAGGTACATGCCCCTGACCAGAATCGAACCCGGGACCTTTCAGTCCGCAGACCGACACTCTACCACTGAGCCAAACCGGTTTCGGCGGATCATATAGATTTTGACATTTGCTTTTGGAACCTTCAGTCACCATGTAAGAAATCCAACTGTTCTGAAGCCACCATGCTGTGAGGAAGCCCAGGCTACAGGGAGAGGCACGTGTAGGTGCTCCCAGTGACCGGTCCAGCTGACAGACCTTCAAGCCACCCCAGCCCAAGATTCCATCTTAGGAGGGAAGATGCTTTCTGATGACGTCAGCCAAAGTACCATGGCAGCCTCAGCCATTCAAGTCTTCCTAGCTTTGTCCTAAACATCATGGAACAAGCTCTAGCCATCTCTGCTGCACCCTGTCTAAATTCCTGACCTCAGAATCGTGTGTGTAACAAGTTTATGCCATTGAGTCTTGGGATGGTTTGTTCCACCTGCCTTGGAATGCCTGTCAGATTTCCACTGAGTCAGCACAATCTCTTTGGTTTATTTCCTAAGTTCGCTGACCTTATTTCATATTTTGTTGTTCTAAAAACAATCAAACTGGTTCTTGGTTGGTGTGAGATTTGTCTGCTCGCTGACACACTCAGCCTAACCCAACTGACCTTGATAGGATAGAGCCAGATCCCAAGGCCCTCCCTTGCTCTGACATGGATTGTTTCTACAAGTTACCCACTGACATTCTCAAGGAAGGGTCTCCAGACCCCCGTTTAAAACCATAGCTCCTCAAAAAAAGACTTGACCAACTTTTGCCAGCATCTTTGTATTAGTGGAAACTTGGTCCCCACCTTAGGAGGCACCCAGACCTTTGGGAAATCTACACTATGCCAAATCTCCTGGTGGCTAAAGCCAGGGTTTGATGGGGTCCCACAGCCCCTGCCTGGGCACACAGGAGCAGAAGAGGTTAATGCTATGATCTGGAAGGCTAGAGGCTTGGGAGGCTCAGAGCTAAAGACTTCAGTGAGTACTGACTCTGATTGATTTGGATTAGTTTGGAGAGCCAGGAATCCTGGGAAGCAGGTGAGTCTTCAGTCTTGGACAAATCTTGGTCCTACTACTTACTGATTGTGTGGCTTGAATAGGTCACTTTACCTTTCTGACTGCATAGCCACCTCCCAGATAGTGTGAGGATTGAGGCAGTGCACTAGCCCAGTGTCTGGCATCTAGAACGTAGTCAGAAAACGATAGTTATTGACCTTATTGCCCAAGACCTAAAACAGTTTGTTGTGGAGCATTTTCATAGCCAGTTCCTTAGAAAACGGAAGATTCTTTGGAGTAATCTTGACAGCTTGTCCATTATATGGTAACTAGCTGTTTACATTTCTCTTTGCTCCTATCTTGTGCATTCTTCTTAGGGCAGAGGTCATGTCTTAGTGCTCCAACTTCTAGGAAAGAAGAACATGATAGCCCTTTACAGCCGTGTGACCAGGACTGATTGGCAAATGAAAACCTTACCTGTTCATGTTAAGGCACTTATTTAAATGCTCAAATGTGAGACCTAGCTAAGGCTAGTTTTCCTGGAACTGGGAGGAGGCAGGATGGAGTATGGGAAAGGAGGTAGAAGCTGTGGGGGATGGTAGAGGGAGGATTTGGGTTGGAGGTGCTTGGTGGCAGCATTGGGAGTTGCAATTGGCTTCTGTCCTTCACTGTGGGTATACAGGCATCCCTGTGGATTTTCATGCCTTTCAGAATTGTAAGACCCTTTTAAAAAATGTGTGTCTCATCCCGAGAGAGAAACTATAGTTAGTTTGCTAACAAAGCAAGTCAGGTGAACTGGTACTTGCCATGGTAGATCCTTACAGTAAAGGACCTTCAAAACATACTTCCCAGTGTCTGCACTCTGCAGTCCCTTACGGGCTTTGGACTTAGCCAGGGGACTGTCCAAAAGCAGAGTCTGACGTGGGTAAGATATACAGTTTTTTTTGTGGATTCAAAAAGCACCAGTGTTTCTGGGTGAAGCCCAGTGGGAAGCCTTGATGCAAATGTGTGTCCAAGGCCAGTGGAACAGTCCAGCTCGCTGGAAGTGCATAATTGTACAGAGGGATAAGAAGTGGGGATAGCCCTAACTGGTTTGGCTCAGTGGATAGAGTGTCAGCCTGCAGACTGAAAGGTTCCAGGCTCGATTCCAGTCAAGGGCATGTGCCTTGGTTTGGTTACGGACACATCCCTGGTGGAAGGTGTGCAGGAGGCAGCTGATCGATGTTTCTCTCTCATTGACATTTCTAACTCTCTATCCCTCTCCCTTCCTCTCTGTAAAAAATCAATAAAATATATTTATAAAGGAAGTGGGGATAAAAAAGATGGGCTAGAGCCAGGCAGTGTGTCCAAGTCTTAATTGTCCTTTTTCATTTTTCTGAGCCATCAGGGAACTTCCAGGGCAGGACAATAAATGATGTTCCAGGCCTGGCTGGTGTGGTTCAGTGGTTGAGCATTAACCCATGCACCATAAGTTCACTGGTTTGATTCCTGGTCAGGTTGTGAGTGAGATTCCCTGCAGGAGGCAGCCAATCAATGATTCTCTCTCATCGATGTTTCTATATCACTCTCCCTTTCTCTCTCTAAAAATCAATAAAAACATAAAAAACAAAAACTCAATTAGGGAAACCCTATGACTAGTCTGGGCAAGGGAGAATGAGGGCCTGACCAGGACCAGGCAATGAAGGGAGAGAAGTAGGTGGATGTATAGACACTGGAAGGAAAACTGATGCGATTTGGCAGCTAACTGAGGGGAGGGGAAGTGAAGGGAGGAGCCAGAGATGATTGAGGTTGTCAATCTGTGACAGAAGTTGACGATAATAGGAATGAAAGGAACTGTGGCGCATGTATTTCTGAAGCTCTGGAGAGCCGGCTGTTAGAATGTAGATGTGATCATCTCTATATCTTAGGAGAGAGCACAGGTGAGCAGATGGGATGTCAAGGAAACGGGAAAAAGCTGAGACCAGGCCACCTCCCCAGTGACTGGTATCACTATAAGGGAAGGTGTCAGGTTAAGGCCCTATCATCTTTCACTAAATGCCCGCCTTCTTTCTCATCGCCTCATTTTCCAGTCTTATGTAGGTACCAAGGCTGATCAGTACTCTGTGCCATGACCCAGTGCTGTCTGAACCAGACACCAAGGAGTCATAGACATGCCACTGAAATGCAAGACTGAACAGATGCTCAGAGCCTTTTCTGGAAGTTATTGAACGTTCTCAGAAAGATGTACCTGCACCAGACCCTTGATTTGACACAATTTTAAAGGGCTGGTCAGTTTCTGATACACTCTCAGGCCCGGGTAAAGAAGCTGCTCTAGAGCATCTGTATCCTGTACAGCTGTGAAGAGAGGTTGAGAGGAAACGAGTGACTTGTTATCTCAGGCGGACCAGTTTCCTAGAGCTGGGTCTTCCCAATCTGCTCCCTAATGACTCTGATCAGTAATTATAAGAGTGCCACACTCTTGCCCTGGCTGGTGTGGCAAGGGGTTAGAGTGTCGGCCTACGCACTGAAGGGTCTCTGGTTCGATTCCTGTTAAGGGCCTGCACCTGAGTTGCAGACTTGAATCCCAACCCCAGTCAGTGTGCATGCG